AGGTGCAGGCAGACATCGCAGGCATACAGCAGGAAAAGGTAAGGGACGTCGGGGAACCCGAGAGATGCCAATGGTAAGACTATGGAGTGCGACGCAGCATTTTCGCCGCGAGTGCCCTCGAGGCGATGGGAGAGGCAGGGGTCCGTCGATGCATCTGGCTCAAACTGATTCTGACATGCAGTATGTTGACTGGGAGTCTCTTTTAACCGACCGTGCGGATAGCTCAGCTGAAATTGTTAACTTCATGGCTGCCAGATATCTGAGTGCCAGTCTGTCCCTCGAGAATTCCGCCGACGAGCTATTCGAGGAGGTGTTCACTTGCCACAGCGATATCGATTTGGCAGACTGGCTGGGCATACCCATCGCGGGGCAACCTGCAGATATTGAGTTTGTCGAGAATTTTCACGTGCCCGCCGAAGGGGATGCCGACATGGCGGGGGCGCCCGCGGATTCAGAAGCCATTGTTCCTGCGACAGAAGAGGAAATACAGCTGATGCTTCATCCTCGTGTCATTGGAAGTCCGACAAACATGGAATTGAGTGACGATGACCCTTTACGGGGGAACCCGCGAGACGTTAGTGATCTGTCTGAGCGCGTTCAATACGAACTTGGCTATAATGAGGGAAAGCGGCACGCATTTGTGGCTCCGGACCGCTCCGTGAGCCGCCAGGGGCGATCGACGAGCCGCCGGGTCTGGAGGAAAAGGTATAGCGCCGACGATGGCGACGAATAGTGCCTTGGAGTTGACGATTCCACCAGAAAGTTGCACCGCGTTGAGTGCGCATCGGGCGTGCAAGAACCCGCTCTTAGGGGTCCGCGCTGGCCAGTCTTTCTTCAATAGTAACGCGCGCTGGCCGAAGGGTCTCAGAATGGCCTCCTCGTCGAGGGATCGAAGAAGCTCGCTTCTGTTTCTCGGAGGACAGCAGTGGAATGCCTGAGAAGCCGGCAGCAGTAAAACGGGGGCGGGTTCGCTCGTGGAATCCGGCGGGAGGCTGGCGGAGGCCGGCGGAAGTGACAGGTACGCCTCTAAGAGGTGCAAATTTGTTTCTGGCTTCAGGGTTTGAATCACATAGGGAATGCCGTGATCGGCGTGTCTCTGGGTAGAGCGCCGACGTCGGCCCCATATAGGGGCCCCAGAGGGGCCTCGAACCGTCGCGCTTCCTCCTTCGCTTCTCGGAGGTGGAGGGCGCGGGAGGGAGACGGATTGGTTTCATGTCGACTTCGTTCGCGATTCGTTTTGTATAAAGCTCGATCTCTGGGGAAGTAAACGCTTTCGGGGAAGCGTAAGACTCGAGTGAGCCAGAACTCGGGTTTGTTTATTTTTTTGACGAGCGCGTCCTGGATTTCGACGGTCCCGTTTTCATGGGATGTCTGCAGCGGGAACCCGCGTCAAATTTCAGATTGGGTCTCGTCATTTTTATGATGGCCCCCGTCAGGCCAACCCGAGTCCCCCGTACCCGAGTCTTACGTCTCCCCGACACTGGGGTTCGGGGCGGCAGTCTACCCCCATGGAAGGGGTCGGGACCTCCGGAGCATTCGGACTGAAGCAATCACATCGTCGAGCGTCTGGGTCCACGGCCTCGCGGTGCAGAGTCCGCGGCCGCGACCCAGTGGTACAAGGCGTTTTCTTTGTTCGCACGGATGCCCCGCGCGGGGCGTATCCTTGAGGTCCAGTGCGCACTGGATTTCGCCTCGGAATTCAGACCACGAGGGCATGGATATGACCACGTTCGTCATTCGGGAGAGGAAGCAGATGGGGAAGCCGGGATCTTGGACGCTTCGGGCATGTGCTGGGCCTCCAGAGGCCTCCAGAGGCCTCAGGAGGCCTCTGGGGACCTCTGCTGCTTCTTGGGTCTCTGGGGGCCTCCAGAGGCTTTGAGAAACCTCCAGAATCGGAGGAGAAGGACGAGGAGGGAGGAGCAGGGAGGAGGAGGATGAGGATAAGGATGAGGATGAGGATGAGGATGAGGATAACGATGAGGAGGATGAGGAGGATGAGGATGAGGATGATGATGATGATGAGGAGGAGGAGGAGGAGGAGGAGGAGGCGGAGGAGGGGGAGGAGGAGGAGGAGGAGGGGGAGGAAGACGGAGGGAAGAGGAGGAGAAGAGGAGGAGGAAGAGGAGGAGGAAGAAGCAGGACGTCGCCTGCATTGCGGGCGGGTTGCTCTGGTTCGCCTTCTGCCTCTTGTACATCGTGCTTTTCCTGGCGAACGTGAGCCAAGCGGATGCGGACCACTGGCTGATCTGTTTGACTTTCCGCTTTGTAATCATGTGGGTTCTGATTCCATTTGCCGCCGCCCTTCTGTGGATGGTCATAATGAGAGTCTTCGTCGAACTCAGTGGTGGAAGCTTCGTCCAAACAAACATCAGCGGGCTCTTGAGAGCAGTCTATCGTGGCGGCTATGATATTCCAAGCGTGCCACTCCTGCTTGAGTGTGACGCTGGCGAGGGTATCACGCGATTCAGGTTAGAAGGCGGGGAGCTTTGTATGTCCACCGACGGCATGAACTGGACACACATCGAATCGCTGGAGTGGTTGGCTGACCCAGGGGCAGAGACATTGTCGGCCGGGCCCTCGCTGCACGGGCAGGTCATCGACCAGGCCGGCAGGAAAGCGACCGTCGAATCATGCATATTGCCTGAGCTCACTCGGATTTGCGAGAAGGCCAGGGTTGGCCATACTTTGCCGAAAAGTTTGGAGGAAAGCCAGGAGCGCTTCGCAGTGGCGACGGAGAGCCGCCACCAGGAAGCAGCGGCGCCTGGCGGGGAGGTGCAGCGCGACCAGACTCAAGTGACGTCGGAGGTTGCCGACGAGCTTGCCGTGACGCTGGAGGTCGCCGACAAGCTTGCCGTGGATTCCTCCGCGGCGGCTGCCGCGGGCCTCGCAGCGAGGCTGGCAGATCAGCCTGCGCAGGTACCCCTCCGCGCTGATGCGGAGCCGATCAAGCCGACGGTGCTGGAGGCCGTGGGGCAGGCCTCGGCGACGGCAGAGGTGCAGCAGGTGCGTCGGGCGGAGCAGCAGGCGCAAGAGGTGCAGTCGCCTGACCGCGCAGCAGGTCCAGGTTTAGCACTTCCGGCAGCAGCCATGTCCGGCGTTTCACTGGACGCGGTGTTCCTGACCGTTGAGCAGGCGGAGGGCCTTGAGGAGCCTGTCCCTGAGCGGGGGTCAAGCCAGCAGGAGAAGAGGGTGAAGAGGGTTCCCGTCCCGGCCTCAGCGCCCACCCAGGTGGGGAAGCTCGCTGGGGCCAGCGTTGAGGCCAGTGCCCGAAGGAGGGCATCGACATCATCTTTCGCCTCTTCACTGGACGCGGTGTTCTTGACAGTCGACCCGGCGGATGGCACTGAAGAGCCTGTCCCAGAGCGGCAGGCGAGGCAGCATAAGAGGAAGAGGGTGAGGAGGCCAGTGCGGGCTGCATCTCCAGTGGGGCAACCCACTCCCCTGTTCAACGCGCCAGTCTCTCCCTCCGACAACTATGGGCATGTTGAGCAGCAGGAACTCGTGCAGCAAGCCGCGACGATGGCGGAGGCGGCGGAGTTGGATCCCCTCGAGGGCATCCCAGCAGGCGGTGCCGCTGCTTCACTGGACAACGGCGACGGCGTTGCCGCCAACACAGCAACCGACGTTTCCCGTACAGTTCCGAATTGCCCCAAGTGCGAGCAAGGCATGCTGTGGAGCGACTTCAGCGGGCCCCCCTACGACGCGTCGTACGGGTGGGGGTGCGTGCACGTAGAGACCTGCAAGAACTGGAGGAAGAACTGCGGGGCCTATCGGTGGCACTGCAGCCGGTGCCCAGAGGACCTGTGCAGAAGGTGCAACGTGTCCGTCCCGGCCTCAGCGCCCACTCAGGTGGGGAAGCTCGCTGGGGCCAGCGCGGAGGCCAGCGCCCGAAGGGCATCGACATCATCTTTCGCCTCTTCACTGGACGCGGTGTTCTTGACAGTCGACCCGGCGGATGGCACTGAAGAGCCTGTCCCAGAGCGGCAGGCGAGGCAGCATAAGAGGAAGAGGGTAAGGAGGCCAGTGGGGGCTGCATCTCCAGTGGGGCAACCCACTCCCCTGCCCAACGCGCCAGTCTCTCCCTCCGACAACTATGGGCATGTTGAGCAGCAGGAACTCGTGCAGCAAGCCGCGACGATGGCGGAGGCGGCGGAGTTGGATCCCCTCGAGGGCATCCCAGCAGGCGGTGCCGCTGCTTCACTGGACAACGGCGACGGCGTTGCCGCCAACACAGCAACCGACGTTTCCCGTACAGTTCCGAATTGCCCCAAGTGCGAGCAAGGCATGCTGTGGAGCGACTTCAGCGGGCCCCCCTACGACGCGTCGTACGGGTGGGGGTGCGTCAAAGTAGAGATTTGCAAGAACTGGAAGGGCAATTGTGGGGCCCATAGGTGGCACTGCAGCCAGTGCTCAGAGGACCTGTGCAGGAATTGCAGCTTATCCGGGCCCGCCTCAGTGCCCAGGCTGTTGGGGATGTTGGCAGAGGCCGGCGCGGAGGCCAGCGCCAACCCTTCGGTCTCGTCGGGACGGTACTTGCCAGCTGCGGGACAACCCGCTACCCTGGCCAACACGTTAGGCTCTGCCTCCGACAGTCATGGGCAGGCCGAGCAGCAGGAGGCCATGGACCACGCCGCGGCAACGGCGGAGGCGGCGAAATTGGATCCCCTCGAGGGCACCTCAGCACGCGGTGCCGTCGCTTCACTGGACGCGGTGTTCCTGACCGTCGACCAGGAGGATGGCGCTGAAGAGCCGTTTCCAGAGCGGGGAGCAAGCCAGCACAAGAGAAAGAGGGTGAAGAGGGCACTGCGGGTTGCCTCCTCATTTTCTGTTCCGAATTGCCCCCAATGCGAGCAATGCATGTCGTGGAGCAACTTCAATGGGTCCCCCTACGACCCGACGTACGGGTGGGGGTGCGTGAACGTAGAGACCTGCAAGAACTGGAGGAAGAACTGCGGGGCCTATCGGTGGCACTGCAGCCGGTGCCCAGAGGACCTGTGCAGAAGGTGCAGCGTGTCCGTCCCGGCCTCAGCGCCCACCCAGGTGGGGAAGCTCGCTGGGGCCAGCGCGGAGGTCAGCGCCCGAAGGGCATCGACATCATCTTTCTCCTCTTCACTGGACGCGGCGTTCTTGACAGTCGACCCGGCGGAGGGCACTGAAGAGCCTGTCCCAGAGCGGCAGGCGAGGCAGCATAAGAGGGAGAGGGTGAGGAGGCCAGTGGGGGCTGCATCTCTGATGCATGCAGGCCAAGCCCAGACGATCGACAAAGACGACGACGTTGCCACCAGCATCGCCACCGCCACTGCCTGTTCTGGTCCGAATTGCCCCAAGTGCGAGCAGGGCATGTTGTGGAGCGACTTCAGCGGGCCCCCCTACGACCCGACGTACGGGTGGGGCTGCGTGCACGTAGAGACCTGCAAGAACTGGAAGGGCAATTGCGGGGCCTATCGGTGGCACTGCAGCCAGTGCCCAGAGGACCTGTGCAGGAAATGCAGTGTGTCCGTCCCGGCCCCAGCAGGCGCGGGCCTGAGCGGGGCGGGCGCCGCATGAGCTGCTATCCCGACTGGCCGGCCCCGACTGGCAGGTTTATCCAGTTACGCTGCTGCGCATCTCCGCCACCGCTCTTTGAATCGCTGTGTGACAGGGCTGTTACGTGGCTCGGCCGTCATGGTTATCGCGATGCCTCTGGCCGGCCTCTTGGAGGGCCCTTTGTGGCCTTTTGTGACCGCTTAGGAGGCTCGAGTTCCGTTGGGGGAGGGAGGATTCTGGGGTCCATCTTGGGCGGGGATCTCGGTGACGGTGATACATTTTCAAGACTCTAACTGCATGTCTGAAGGACTGCGCTCTCTGCCGCCCGCCCCCCCAGGCTGCGCCATCTTGGAACCTTCTTCTTGGGATCACCTTGAGGCTTTCTGCGGACCCTGTCGGGTCATCCAGGAGCCTCATTGGGGCATTTTGGGGCCTGTGGGGACCACCTTTGGTTTATCGTCCATCAGTGGCAGCAATTGGCCCCTATTCAGGTCTTGGGGGGCCGTCGCGGAGAATCGGAGACATCCCGAGGGCGACTTCGGGCCGTCGTGGGCCATCTTGGGCGATGCTGGTGGCATCTTGGAGCCTCTGGAGTTACCTTGGTGTCAGGGCAATGTTGGAGCTATCTTGTGGTCTCTATGGGCCGCCTCGAAACCATCCTGAGACATCTAGGGAGCAAGGGAGACGACAAGCACAGGACATCTAATTTCTTCTGGCTGTTCTACGATGCATTGGCTCCTCGCAGCGTCTTGGGGCTCTCTTAGTTGGTTATTGGGCCCCTCTTGGACCGTCTTGGGGCCGCGGCCGTCTTGGGCTCTTTGGGCTCTCGGGGCGCACTCCTGGAGGCCACGACAGCGTCCACCCTGAGAGAGCGTTTTGCTGACGCCGCGCCTCCCCCGAGTAGGCAGTAGGAAGGAGGCACGACTGTAGAGGTGAGGGGCAAAAGACAGGAAACAATGGACAGGACAAGAGGTAGAAGGCAAGAAACACCCACAGGACAGCAGTCCAACAGGGCCCTTCACAGCCTGGCGTCCCCAAGGGGGAAGGCGAATCCAGGTGCGTGCGGCAAGTTCCTCCACCGTGCCCGCGCAGCGCTGTGCGTGGGGATCCCTAGAAACCGTCTCGAATTCTGCGGCATGTGTGGCAGCCCTCGCCCCTAGGCTCCAGAGGGTCGTGACGCGCTCTTCCGCAGGCTCGAGAAGGCCGTAATATGTGATAGCAGTTTTCCGAGGGTTCCGATATCAATCGCTTGTTTAAGATGTGCGGAGTTTGTCCGAGGGTGTGTATCAAAGCTGAAAAAGGAGATGCCAACCGCATGTGGCATTTCCTTTCCCCAGACCCCAGGGCCGTAACACGTAACAGCTGGCTGTCCCAGTGAAGAGATGGCCGTGACCGTAACATGTCTGTGGCACGCTGTGGTGCTCCTTAGGGCTTCCTTGGCCCCCCCAGAGTCTGCACAACATTTTGGAGGTTTTGTTGAGAATGTGGAGGATCCCGGTCCAGCGCTGGAGGGTCTTTGGGCTCTTCAGCTGACGTCTTGGGGCCGCCCTGGGTCTCCTCTTGGCCGTCTAAAGGGGTCGCCTTGTGGGTGGTCTTGGGGCTGTCTTGTGGGGCTCCCTGTGCCGACTGGGGGGCATCTCGGGGCCACTTGATGCCCTATAGGGGCCGCTCGGGTTATCCGTTGGGGATTTCTGGGTGCGTCTCGCGGCTTCTGAGTTGGGACCTCGGATTTCAGGACTGCACGCCAGGACTTTGTCCTGTCCAGGCGGAGGAAACCAATGCTGAAGCATGTATCGGCTGGCGGCTGTCTTTTCGTGGTCGCGCCGATGTTCTGGGTTGTCAAGGTCCCCGTTTACGGGGCCCTGACTGGGCGTCCGGCGGCCTCATGGAGCGAAAGTGGGCGAATGGCAGAACAAGGGCTGTCTGCTGTCTCAGAATCCAAGGTCTCTCTCAGAGTTTGTTTTGAGTGGGGGTCACTGAGTACTGCTTCGGTCGAAGCAGTTCAGACTTCAAGACCACAAGAGGCACACACCTAACGCGCAGCAAGAGCGATGGCGGATTCTTTCTCTCGTCCCTCCCAGCGTATTCTACAAATCAGATGCGCGAGTAAATTTGGTGAGTTGCACCACATCGGTTTCTATTCCGTTGGGGCTTGCTGATGCACTGTAAGTCTCCTTCCCGGGAGCAGGAGCACGCTCAGACCGACCTCGCAAGAGATGTTTCACGTGTCTGTCTTTGAGTTTCTACCTGCCAGTCTGTGTCGTGCGCGAGCGGCCACAGTCCGACGACATTCGCTCATTGAACCGTTTACTGACATAGTACACGCTAGCCGAGGCAACGAGCAGAGGGAGCTCCATTGTAGCATCACTGCCCTGTCTTGCACATCTTCGCTTTCACGCTTTTCCCAGTCCACGATGGGCCCTTCTAAGCCCTCTGGGCCCATCCCTTCTGTTTCCAGCCCGCCTGAGTGGCGAAGGCTACCCAGAGGTTATTATCCAGGATGTTATCTTGCCTCCCCTTTTCGCTTTTTCCGGCACCTTGCACCGCCCTCGTGGTCTCACCTCGCTCAGCCTGTCTCAAGTTGTGTCACCTCGCTGTGCTTTGTTTTCAGATACGGCACCTCTGCCCTGCGCTGCGCGCCCGTCGGGCGCGCAGCGCGCGACAGATGCTTGTCCATGGGGAAGATATGGGGGTTGAGGGGGTATGCTGCGGTAGGGGCCAAGGGCTCCGCTCGAACGCGGAAAACCGCCTTGTAGATCTCCGGTCTCGTGTTGTCGGTGCCGCTTCGCTCTAGGGGCTGGCAGGCAGCAGTCAGCATACCCTTCTGCACATGCAGAGAGGGATCCTGAAAGGACTTGCTGACACAGGCATACGTACCGTTATCCTCACAGGCTCGCCCTCCTCTTCCTCTTCGTCTCTCGCCCCTTCCCGCAGCTGGGGTTTGTGGGCTTCGACCTCGGGCTCTTCTCGGTGGGGCCGGCCCTCGTGCGCGCCACCGTGGAGTCCCGCAGCAATAGTCCCACGGCGGGCGCCAGGGCGACGGCGTCGCGGTGTCGTGCTGTGCTGCTGCGGTGTCGCGGGGTCGTGGTGTTAAAGCGGCGTGGCGTCGTGGTGCCATGGTCTATAGCGCTCAACCCGTCCTGGGGTGTTGGGTCGCGTTTTGAACACGCATCGCTCCTCGTCTCCTTGCGTCCCACCCGCTGCCCTCCCCCTTCCTCCCCCTCCCTGCCTCTGCCCTCCCTGGCCTCTGCTTCGGCGCTCCCCTCACACGTTTCGTGGCCCCACGGGGAGCTCCACCTGAGGCCCCAGTGGCCAGGTTCGCATGCCTTCTCCGCACCCTTTCGGCGCATCCCTCACACGTTTCGTCGACCCTCCCGCTCCACCCGCCGCCCCCTGTCCGCATTGCCCTCCTGCTCTGCCCGCCGAAGACGATACTCACAACAACGATAGGTATTCACAACTGCATATGGTTGGGTCCTTCGCCAGTCTGTGTGTTGTTGGATTCTCAGTTCTACAGGAAAATTGTTGTTGATCCCCCCTGCCCGGCGCACATCGTGTTTTGAATCCACGTGTTCCTCCCGGGGCTTGTACGTGCTTTCTTACAAGGGGAATGTCCTGGTAATCAAACTGGCTTGTTGGCCTTCTGGCTTACAACAGCAGCAGCTCCCGCCTGATACTTCCCTACAAGCTATTTCTAATTCGCGCTCTCGTGCGGGCCTTCCTCATAAGTTATGCAGGAACCGCGCTCTCGCGTGGTATTGCCTCACAATTCATTTGGGCATCGTGCACCCTAGACTCAGGAATCACGCTGTCGTTGTGGATGTCCTCACGATTTTGTGGGGAATCGCGCCATTGCTCGACATTTGCTTGCGGTTCATCTTGGATTGACGCTTCAGCGACCCGCCCGCTCGACCCAGCCGTCTGGGTCCGCCCGCCCGACCTGCCCGTTTGGGTCCGCCCGTCCGACCCGCCCGTCTGGTTGTGCCGTTTGTACTCCTGCTCCTAGCCCAACTCCTCCTGCAAATCTCCTTCGTGCTCCATCCTTCTCCCTCCCCCGTGTGTCTGCCTTTTTTAAAACAGTTCGCTAGTTCAGCAGCTGTGCCAACTACACGCGGCAGGTAGGGAAAATATACCCGCAATGGGGGTACGATCGAAGACGAAGAGGGCGGGTATCGAGGGTTTGGGAATGCACGTGTTGAATGGCACGCGAGCAGATGAGAGCGACCAGTATTATAATGATTGAATTAGATTTCTACATTATAGTTCTTGTTGTCTCCCTCGGTGCCTATATTTTTGAATTTTTAAGTGTTCCTCCTGGGGCTCGCACATGGTTTTCTGTGTCAGAGAAAGTCTTGAGGCTCAGAATGCGTCGTTGACACCCGAGCTACAGCAATAACGGCTCCCGCTTTATGTTTTTTCACAATTTGTTTGAGAATCGCGCTCTCGCGCGGGACGTCTTCTAAGTTTGTACAGGGATCGGGCTCTTGCGTGGGGCTTCCTTGCAATTTGAAAGCCGCGACCTCGACACTCAGGAAGCACGCTCTCGCTTTGGCCGTTCCTAGGATTTATTCGGGGATCGCGCTAAGGCTTGAGGTTTTGTCGCGATTCATGCATGACGCACGCTTGAGCAACCCGCCTGCTCGACCTGGCCGCTAGGGTCTGTCCCCCCGATTTGCCCGTCTGGTTCTGCCACGTGTTTTCTGCTCCTAGCCCCCTCCTGCTATTTCCTGTCGTGCTCCATTCTTCTCCCTCTTCCTTGTCCCTGACTTCCATCCGTCCTCCCTTCCCTTGCGTTAGGGGCTGCACCAAACACATGTGGCATGTAAAAAAGATGTACCCTCAAGGGGAAGAGGGCGGGTACCGAGGGCTTGGGATGTACATAACAGTGCCGCGCGGACCGATAAGAGCGAACCATATTAGCATGATTTTGTGGTTGAGCTTTCATTTCTGAAGCATATTTCTTGTTGAGCCCCCCCGCCCGGTGCACATTGTATTTTTCGATTGAAGTGCCCCTCCTGGGG